TTAAAGTTTTTTAAAACCAATAAGAAAATTATTATTTTGTGGAGATTTTAGTAAGTTTAATAGTTGAATTCATGAGTCAATTGAAGCTAGATCACCATGAAAAACCTGGAAACACTGGACGGCTGTTTCATCCTAGTATAGGACTCTTCAGCAGTGCACATTCGTGATCCAACCCGCAAGACTCGAACCCAGGACCTATCGGTCCCGCGTGCAAACCCTTAACCTATAGACCATTGACCCGACATCCAATGGTGTTAATGTCCAAATTCAACCACTAATGACTAACTTCAAGAGGTATATCCTGGAGTTCTAGTATGAAATCGTGGCTAGTGTAGTTCAACCAGATCTCTTGTGAGATGGTGGACGGTGTTGCAATTTCGTGAATCGATCAAAGTTAGACATTAACACCATTGAATGTCAACTCAGTGGTCTAGAGGTTAAGTGTTCTTGCGTGAAACTGATAAATCCTGAAATCGAATGTCACGAGGCAGGATCATGGATGCACCCTGCTGAGGAGTTGTATACTAGGACGAAACGACGATCATCTAGTGTTTCCAGGTTTTCTTTGATGATCAAGCTTTAAATGACTAATGAATTCAACTATTATTTTATTCACTATTATATCATACATCACTATCTGTACAAAGATGTATATATTTTGAATAAATAGAGATTTCACTGAATCATAAGTAAACTTGTAATCAAAAGAAGGAAATAGAGTCAGAAAAGAAAAGAAAAATTAATTTCTCTCTTTTTTTGTCTTTTTTCTTTTTGATGTGTGTATATGTTGGTTTGTAGAAAAAAATCAAAGAATAATAATAGAGAGTAATTCTCTTTCCTCATGTTGAACTACAATCATCAATGTTTACTTAGTGGTTAGTTAGAAAATTCGTTTTAGGCAACAACAACAACAACAACAAAATTAATATAAAAAAATTCATAATATATCTACATGTAAAATGTTCACTTGAAAGTATTTGTATTCATTTGTGTATAGAAACTAGTGAAGTTTGTAACTAGGATAGTTGATCACGCAAAAGTTTATGTTTCTTTTGCGCGGGGGGGGGGGAAGATGGTGGAGGGATAAAATTTTTTCTTACAAGATTTTACTATTTTTAATATTGATTATTATTGTTGAGTATATTCGATACATATACATGGCAAAGTTTCCTTTTTTTGTAATGAAAAGAAAATTGATTGAAATATAATTTAGTTTATTGGTCATATGCTTATGATTTAACAAAATTGTCAAGTTTATATCTAATATAGGTATATGTATATAAGATTTACAGTTGAAAAGATAGAAAATATGGTAGATTCATGCTTTAGTTACACTTAAATTATTCAATGTAAAGAAGATAAATGAATATTAAATTAGTGGTACGATTTCTTACTTGAAGTGTTCATAGTATATATACATTAATGGAAACAAATTGATTTCCATGTACCTAAATAAGTGGTTGCTCTGCTTGTCAGAAGAGGCATCGGCCTCGTGACTTCCGAAGGAACTCGGCTTTCATCATGAGGCGTCTTAACTCTTCTAAATGAAGACCTTCTGACTCACAGGGCAGAGTTTAAAAGGTTTGAATGATTTATTTTTGTGGTTATCGTTTTTTTGGCGAGTTAGTTTTCTACGAGATGGGGCCGCTAACCCCATGCCCGACACTCCTTCTTTATCCGGGCTTGGGACCGGCAGTACCCCCCGGAGGGACTCCAGGCTGAGTTTAAACAAATTGATTAGTAAAACGATATTTCTTTTTATTGGATTTTAAGGTTGAAAACATTTCAGCTTCTATGTAAACGTATATTTAAATATTTACTGTTAAATCTTTTGATATTATCGAATCAATCAGGTTCAATAACATACTGATAGAGCTTTCATGAATGATTTGAACAATATCAATAGAGCTTATTTCATGTAGAAATGAGCCATCTGGTTGTTCCGTCTTGATTTTGACTGGTTATTCTTATGGTTTTTGTTGTTTTTAGTTAAACGATAATAAATCATGATCATGGTTAATAAGACAAATTGATTTAACACTTGTGTCATAACTAAATAACTCATTTCTACATGACGTAAGCGCTGATGATGTTGTCCTAAACGTTAATTAAAACTCTGATATTAAATCATCGAGATCAAAGAACTCAAAAACAATCGAATCATTCAACTGACTTTCAAATCTTCACCGTAATTTCAATACTAGATCATGATGTTGAATGTAACTGGAGACAATAAAATAGTCATGACATGAAATTATTCGTATTTTAATCGTTTAAAGATCCCTTACCTATTAAAAAACTAAGATTTGAACGAAGAATATTCTTTTTGATAAATTCACTTCAGGTTCTACAATTCATATATCCAAATTAATAATCCGAAAAATGGTCAGGTAAAAGGGCAAAGTACATCGTTTACAGCATGTGAATTTAGGATTGTGATAAACAAAATACAATAAAATTGTTAATGTTGATATGAGTAGTATAAAATGTTAACTTGAATCTGCGTAGATGTTAAGTGAAAATTTAAGATCCATGATCAAAATGAATATGGATCAGATAGGGTCGATCAAATGTTCAGTGGAACACTATATTGTGTGAAAAATTGGTAAGACGTAATAAGGAGGGATGAATGCGAAGTGAATGAATCATATATAGGGGAGATTAAAAATGATGTTTAACCAGTAATAATAATAATAATCCAAAGATTTGTGAACAAAGGTGACAGAGACAATTACATTTGACTACGAAAAGTGGTAAGTACAACAATCAAATTTGATCATTCAATAGCTAAGATTATAATTGATTAATTGGCCTTGAGGTTGACTAGAGAAGGAGGAGTGGTTGAAGATATTTCTTCTGTACGCATAGGTTCCGTTTTTCATCTGGATAGCTATTGCTTCAGCCGTTTGTTTGTAAATTATTGTAAATTATGTCATACACAGACATTATGAGTTTTTGTGTGTATCTTGTTAAAATAAACATAATTGGTGGTCTAGCTTTAATTGACTCATAAACTGAACTTTGAAAATAGACATAATTTACTTTGGTGCACTAAGCAAGTACAGTTTTATGCAATGGTCTTTGTAAGATATATTTTGTATGATTATTAAAAACACCATCCTAATATCCAAAACGAAGTAGGTGATTTAAAGTTGAAATAGATGATTCTATTTTTTGGAACTTGATTAATTAAAACACTGAATCTTAGTAATAGATAATGAAATTTAAACAGCTGAGATCATAAGTCAATTGAAGCTAGACCACCATGGAAAACCTGGAAGCACTGGACGGCCGTCTCGTCCTATTGTAGGACTCCTCAGCAGTGCGCATCCATGACCACGCCCCGCGTGATCCGAACCCAGGACCCATCAGTCTCGCGCCAGGCGCTTAACCAACTAGACCACTGAGTTGGTCGGCATCTAACGGTGTTAATGTCTAACTTCAACTAATCCACGAAATTGAGCTACACATTCACCATTGTCATCAGTGAGTTACTACCTCACAACTGACCCATTTGAACTCCACTGATCACTGCTTCTCACTAGAACTCCAGGATATATATCTTAAAGCCAGTCACTAGTGAGCATATGCTCATTAGTATCAGATTAGTATCATGATCTCGATTACTTAAATTACTACAATCTCCAAAAAAACCCTTCTGATTACGAAATGTGTATGTGGTTCTTTTACACTAGAATCAGTTCCAAAGTTCAAATGCATTTTCATAGCCATGGGGGTTATTTGTTAACCAAACATCATAATCATTAATCACTATACAAAATACGATAGGATATTAAAAATATGATGTCAGACGGTTAACATAACCCCTAATTGTAAACCATTTGTAAATTTTGAGGCAGATCGCGGATATTTAAATGGGTAAGAAGTCGTGACTGATTGAATTTGCTATGTTATAAATGAAATGGAATATTTTCCCATTGGTGTCCCTTTCGTTTGTTCGTAGATTTTGTTGTTGAATTGAAAATATGTTGTTAGGCATAAATTGATGAGTTCCTGTAGACTTTGAATTTGAAGCTTCGTGTATTTAGTGAAGTTTGTGTCGTTGTTGAGCAGCAGGGATATAGTTTCTTTTGCTAATTTTGGTTCAATTGAGGTGAATAGTGATGTTACGTCGAAGGATAACATCAGTTCGTCGTTGTTGATTTGGATGTCCTTAATTTGGTCCAGGAATTGTGTAGGAGATTTGATGGAATGTTTGGCTGAATCTACTAAATGTCTCAGTATTCTTGAAATTTCTTTTGGCAAATTGTACGTTGGTGTTCCAGGGAGTGCTACAATTGGACGTAGTGGGACGTTTGGTTTGTGTATTTTGGGTCTGCCGTAGAATCGAGGGAGTACTGGTCCGTTGGATTTCCAACGGACCAATGGAATATCTTCTTCAATTTTACAACTAACCAACCGCTTTATATTAAGTGTTAACCACTAGTAACTGGCTTCAAAATGTATTTCCACGAGTTCTAGTAAGAAGCAGTGACTAGTGAAGTTCAACCGGGTTTGTTGTGAGATAATAACTCACTTATAACAAAGGTGGATGTGTCGCACAATTTCATGGATTAGTTGAAGTTAGACATTAACACCATTGGATGCCGGCCAGCTCAGTGGTCTGTTGGTTAAGCGTTCGCGTGCGAAACCGACAGGTCCTGTGTTCAAATCTCGGGAGGTGGGATCGTAGATGCACACTGCTAAGGAGTCGCACAAATGACGAGTTGACCGTCTAGTATTCCCAGGTTTTCCATGTTGATCTAGCTTCAAATGACTCATGATCTCAACTATTGAAAATCAGTATTTTTTTGTTTGTTTGATTAATAAAGTAACTGTATCCTTTCTAAGTGATACATATTTTATATTGTTTTCAATTTGGATTTCATAATTAATAAACATCTTTCTTCCATCAATTAATATAATGATCCTAATGATGTAATACATGGTTATTCTATAATATATCTCTAAAACCTTTCAATGAATAATTAATTTGATAGGACAGTCAGCAGAGAATAATCAAAATCCATTTTGTTTAAAATGTCGACAAGCTAACGGTGTATGTTATCATTATACTTCTAATCGAATATCAAATTCAAATGAAATGAAACGATATAAACGTTATGAATATAAAGATCATAAATTAATCCCTTTCAATAGCCCTGTGGATGTAATATTTAAAGAAATTCTTCAATATTCTGAAAAGTAAGTATCTATTGTTTAGTACTTTTACAATTATTCTATAAAGTTGTATATACACATAGTAAGTTCAGTACTAGGTAATGTGTAGTTTTTTATTACTTTATAGCACCTTTCGAATTAAAAGTATACAATATATATACCAAATGTTTAGTGAATAGTTTTTATTATTTTGCATTTTCACTTATTCAATTCATCTTAACACATGGTAATTCGATTCGTTTAGAGAAATGTCGATAACAATGAGAGCCTAACATGTATGGTAGTCTGGAGGTTAAATGTTAACGGGTGAAACTTAAGCTCTTGAGTTCGATTCTCAAAAGAAGGGTTATGGATGTTTACTGTCATTGAGAATTCCTATACTATAACGAAATGGCCTTCCAGTGTGGCGCGTGCTACTTATATTGACATAAGTGGTATATAACGCGAGTCAGGAATGCAATGTCTGGTAGCAGAAGATTGGAAAAATCAAGAAAGAAATAACGGGAATAGAAAGAAATTAGTATAGAAATGCAAGAACAATGAAGTCCGAGATAATTATTGAACATTTTGCAAATTAGGTATTATAATATGGTTTTTCTATTTTACCAAGTAACTCTGTGATGTGGTGCTAAGTATAATTCGGTTGTCCTCACCTGTGTTCTCCTTCACTACTCCAGTACTTACAGATTTTCAATGATTGTCTAACCTAGATCGGTTAGTGAATTCACTTTATATTATGGTTTATCAAACATTATATCTGAATAAACATACAACTAAAGTGAACGAAATAAACCACTTTCACAGGTAAATGTATATTTTTTTTACTAGCGGAGTCATTATATAAAGCTGATATTCTAAGTTCTGTCTACTGGGTTATCATTCATTTTGTATACCCTAGATGATAAAATGTGTGATACAACAATTATCGAAGAAAAGTGCTTAACAAAGTTTGTTTTAGGTCTTCTGTTGAATCATTTCAACTTCAACTTGTATTGACAAAGTATAATGTTATACCGTTCGTTTTCTTTTTTTTTTACATTTCAGTACAGAGACATATGGATGCAGTTGTCCACATAATACTGGAATGTTAGTTTCATTTTCAATGAATGATATAACAACAAATATAAATCATAGTCACCTACAAAAACCACATCATACAACATCATTCAATAAACTTGATGAAAATATATCCTTGTCAACATATCAGCTTGTACCACATCAGTTTCCTCAATGGTATTTTTGTAAAGCAATAATGGGTAAGTGTGTTAGCATGATTTGATGAGAAATGGTTGTTATCTTTTTGTTTTGAAAACAAACAACTCTCACGTCTTACATAAAAACTAAAAAAATACCCTTAAAAATATTTGACAGATAATTCCTATCTAAACATTAAAAACATGAATTTCAGTGAAAGGATCTCTTTACTCTTACATAATAGTATGATAATCTTTGTATTACATCATCTTGGTTATTCCTTGTTCACATTTCTTAACGGAACCAGAGCTTTATTAAAAAGCTTTCATGTATATATATATATATATGGTGGACGATGGGACTTCGTGGATTGATTGAAGTTAGACATTAACACCATTAGATGACGACTCAGTAGTCTAGGAGTTAAGCACTCACGCTCGAAACTGATAGGTCCTCGGTTCGGATGTCGAGAGGCGGGACCGTGGATGCACACTGCTGAGGAGTCTCACAATAGGACGAAACGACCGTCCAGTGTTTCCAGGTTTTCCGTGGTGATCTAGCTTCAAATGACTCATGAATTCAACTATTATAATTGCTATATTATCCAAAACTTCTCTCTGGATATATATATACGTTTGTACAGCTTGATAATAAATTTGTTGAAAAGAGATCCCTTGGGTGAACTTTATGTTTTCTAGAAAATATTTACTAAATTTTTAGTTGTATAGTGCTGTTCTCAACGATCACGGTACTTCGATTGCATGAGATATTTGAACATTTGAAATGAGTCGTGTTTTTTTCATCATCTGCCCAAAGTGAATAATATTTTCTCGGTTTAAAATGTTTAGTTCATCTAAACACATTGATTGGTGAATGTTGCTAACTTATATATTTAGCCTCAATAGAATGCAATGATGCATTGAATACTATAAAGGTGGATCTAATAATATCACTATCATAAACGGTTTCGAGAGAGAAATCAATTTTTTTGGATTTATATCAAGGACGAACTTAAGCTTGTCAATCAACGAAACATTTCTAATGTAAATGACAATGACTTATAAGAACAAGAATTCTTGAAGTTGTGATTAGAAATCTTGACCGGTTCGGATCAATCATGTCAAGGATGTGAGAGATGTTATTAATGGCCATGAAATCCTAAAGTGTTGGTTGTAAAACCTGAAGTAGTCACTGTTGTATACTACAACCAAATATCAGTTTACTACTCCTTAGTTGAATAGCTAAAGTCAACTACAAATGTATGATAATTCAAATTATTAAATGAAATATTCCTTCCCATTAGATATATCAGCGATACTAGTGGATGTTTAACAATTAAGTATATATTCTCGTGAGATATTCTCTCTATTCTACGGCGTATGTTTTTTTTGTTCTATCAATAGTCAGACAGATTTCATTAACCATAGATAGGAGAAGAATCCATCAGTAATTCACCTCATGCTTTTATAGTAATCGAGGAACTAAATTGAGGACAACTAATTTCTTATATAGTGCAACATTACAGAGTATCTTGGTAAATTATGAAAACCATACATAAAATAATTCATTATCACGTCTGTCCATCAGATGTCCTTTACATCCTTTATGATTCTTAGAATTCTCAATTTCTTTGTGTTCCCATTTCTGTTTCCTTCAGTTTAATCTTCTCAATATTCTTTTGACAAGCATACCACTTTTGATTGGTGTTACATACTACTACTTACATCTGTCAATATAAGTAGCATACATCACAAATTGACTTATTCATGTCCATTTTATTTCATATTTTCAATTGTTTACATTGAACTTGTAAATCAAAACAGTTGACATTTTTACTTGGATAAATTATAAAATTAATCTGAAATATTATTGCAAGAACAGTGCTGAATAACATTTCTCCTCACGAATGATGTTGAATTCTCCTTCCATTGTTCATTTTGTTTTTAAAACTTTTCTATGTTTGTGACAAAAATAAGTTTTTACCAGATCAAAGGACATAATGATCAAGAGATGATGCCATTTTTAGCAGACAATAAGATGATGTTTGTCTTTCCGTTGGTTCACACATATAGTGATGTACAAGGTGACTGTTTTATTATTGAGTACTGTGTTATGCATCAAATGTGAGCTTATCACATAGTGGTTGGCTGCTTATGAATGTTATATAATCGATTTCTTGAAAATATATTAATGGTATTTTTGAAAAGATCTCTTCGAAATCTTTTTTTCTAAACAAGATAATACTGATAATCGTTTAACAATATGTTATGAATCCCTCCCTTATCAAATCATTATAAAAAACTATTTTGATTTGCTTATGAACAAAATCGTAGAAGCATCTTTCTCTCGATTAAATGAACTAAATATTTAAGCCTTGGCAACTACTTCTTAAATGAGTTTTTTTTCAAAAAAATTGAAAAATTGTCACTAAGATAGATTACTTCTTAAATAAATACTGCATTTTTTCATATGAAGTAGATTTAAGCAAATATGTGGTTTATAAGTAAAGATGGATAGTGGCTAGCAGTGGAGTTCAAGACGCACGTTTCGTTCTATTTGCGACTCGTCAGTTGTATGTACTTGGCTATCAGGACTCACTAGCTAAGTGGATAACACGAAGCAAACGGTACTGAGTTTAAAGCCCAGAGTAAATATCAACTCTGAGATGCAAGTGCATCCAGCTGACGAGTTTCAAATAGAACGAAACGCGCGTCCTGGTTTTCACTGCTAGCCACCATCCATCTTTGTTTATAAAGCTCGTGAATTAAGACAATATCGAGGTAATACGCACAGCATGCACATATGTGAATAAAACATTAATCAATTGCATTCTTAATCATCAATGGGAAGATTCAAGTAAACAATACCAATTGGATTTAACTATGTGGTTTGTTTCTTTAATTCTTAAAATTCTCAACATAATGTTGACTACAAACACTTAAATATCATTTTATTTTAACGTTGGGTGTAACATGTTCTCCTTGATAATTAATAAGCAAACACTGTACATGAAGTTCATAACACAAAAAAGTCATTAATTATAATGTTTCTTAGAAGTTACATATATTATTGATGCTTAATAATAGACTGTATTTACTTTTTTTAAACACAATATTTGTTTGCTCAGTTGGTTCACTTAACAACTGTACTACTATTAATAACTATATGTTTGATTTCATTTGTTAAGATGGAGTATATCATTTAGCTCTTTAAGTCTTGATACATCACTGTTATTGACTGTTCTTGGCAAAGTAATATAGTAGTATATTAAGATTTAGATCAGTTCAATGATTGGTGTTAGTGACTGTTTTTGACTTTCTATATCGTTTTCGAAAATTAAGGCATGTTTAGCATTAAGTATATGATCATTTTAGAGTATTTGTTCTTCTGTAAGTATATCATTAGTGACTGTCTCAGGTTTTTGTACAGATTCATGTAGTACTTTCATGTATACAGTACAATGTTCAAAATAACTGTTTCTATATCAATATTCATATTAAGGTGGTGATTATTAACCATGGACTATCTGATTTACACAAATAAGTTTATTCAAAGAATTTTAATGATAAAAGCTTTACGTAGTTTACTTTTTAATCACTGAAAAATCTCTATCACGATAAAACATAGATATGAGAATAAGGAATAAATTCTCATCAGGTTCTATAATTACACATGTATACTATTGACCCAATAAGTGGCCAAGTTTTACACAAAATATATCGTTTAAAACTATATCATATCATTGAAATCATGAACCGATCACCACTGATGACCTAGAGGCACCGTACGGCCATTTTGTCTTCATACAAAACTCCTCAACAATAGGCATCCATGATTCCACACATGGGACTCAAATTTAAGACCTTTGATCTCACACGTGAACGCTTAACCTCCAAATCATTGAGCCAGCGTCCAACGATGTTAATGTCTAACTTCAATTGATCCATGAACTCATGCAACCTTTTATCCATTGTTTTCGGTAGATAACTGTCTTACATCCTTTACAGATTGGGCTCCACTAGTCACGGCTTCTCATTATATATATATATATATATATATATATATATATATATATATTAGATTATTAATTTGGATACATAATTGTAGAACCTGAAGAGAACTTATTCAGAACAATGTTCTCCATTCATATATCTGTGTTTTAATCTAGATTTTACTATTCTTTTCGTCATATAGTACTTTCCATGTGAATAAGATAAAACGTAAATATGAATGCAATCATCGTCATCCTCCTCCTCCTCATCATCATCATCATACCATTACTCTATGCTTTCATATATATTACTTAAATTCATTTCAGTTTTCTTTTTCTTCAATGGAATATCATTTTTATTTTATTCATTTTCAGTCGATTTATGGGAATACTGTAACAATATTGATTTATTATGTCGAACTAAAAATGCACGTTGTATCAGAACGGATAATGAATTAGATTTAATTCAATTTACATGTCAATGTATACCTGGTTATATACCAGTTTATCAAAATCATTTAGATTATCATGAATGTTGTAAGTAATTCTAATTGTTTTATTCTATAGATAAGATTTTTTATTAAAAAAGAGGAATTATTATTTCATTATTGTGATGTACTATTGAGTTGATTGGATTTTTAAGTAATCAGTATTTAGTATCAGTGATCTAGTGGTTAAGCGCTTACGAGGCGAGATCGTGGATGTGCACTGTTGATGAGTCTCACAATAGGATGAAACGGCCATCCAGTGCTTCCAGGTTTTCCATGGTAGTCTAGTTTCAATGGACTCATAATCTCAACCATTAAAAATCAGTATTTACTTATTATAACATCGTTATAATGAAATGTTAATACAAATCTGATAAAGACATTAAAAGTTTATTGTTCAAACTAACAATACTGTAGTCGTTTAGATGTGATAGAAATGTCTTATCAGTATGGGATTGTGAAGATTATTAAGTTTTTGATTGAGATCATGAATCGATTGATGTTAGACCACAATTGAAATACCTGGAAGCACTGGACGGCCGTTTCGTCCCATTGTGGAATTGTGGTATGTACTACTTATATTGACATAAGTAGGATTTAATGTTAGTCAGGAACAGAATGTCTGGCAGCAGAGAGACAAGAGGATCGAACAGTAAACATTGGAAACTGAATGCCATTTTTAAATGAAAATACAAGAACAATGAAGTCTGAGTCATTATGAGATAATTGATGGACACTTTGCAAATTAAGCATTTACATTATGATTGTTAGATTTTATTAACAAGTCCTGTAATTTTGTGTTAAATACATTCGATTGTTCCTACTGGTGTAAGTGTTCACTATAGAACTCCTCAGAAGTGAACATCCACGGTCATTGAACTATGATGCACAAAAGGCTGAACTATGGAGATTCAATTATTATTTAATATGTTAACACAAATGTGTAAGTAGTGGGGGGGAGGTGGTTATGATCAAATGTCTTGATAATAAATTAAACAATGCTTCCGACTACTCCAAAATATGTATTGATTCCCGTGTGAGATGATATCAGTACATTACAATTATTTTTTCGATTACATTTTAAAGTTGATATAAGTTGTCACTTCTGTAAACGATCAGAGTTGAAGGTTTTTGTAGAGATTGAAGCAATTTAATAATTGAATTCATGAGTCAGTTAAAGCTAGACCACCATGGAAAACCTGGAAGCTTTGATCAACGGAGTTCAACCGGGTCTGTTTTGAGGCAGTTACTCATTGAGGACTATGGTAAACGGTGGCGCGATATCGTGGATTGGTTGAAGTTATACATTAACACTGTAAGATGGCGACTAAGTTATCTAGAGGTTAACCGCTCCCACATGAGATCGAAAGCCCTGGGTTCGAATCCCATGAGCGGGATTGTGGGTACGTACTGCTGAAAAATCCCACACTAGGACGAAACGGCCATCCAGTGCTTCCAGTTTTCCAATGGTGGTTTAACATCAATCGGTTCCTGGTCTCAATGAAAAATGTCTTATGTTTGTTAGTATTCCAAATACAAAACGCTTAATTGGCTTGTGTTTGATATTGTGATCAAGAGTTTGACAACATGTAGTGAAAATCAACGACTGATGTTATGCAGAATAAATTGGATTTTTTATATGATTTATTTACCTTTAAATTCATGAACAGATTTGTATGTTGGAAGTGAATAGTATATAACATCAGTTAATCAATAACTTACTATAGAAACCTGTATTCGCAATAACAAACTGATCAAATTCCACTTTTTTGATTCTATCATATCAGTTGAGATGAGTACTTAATAGCTGAGATAATTTATTAAATAATAGTTAATTAACAATATATTTAATGACAGATTCCATGTGTATTTATATCCCATCCAATTAATTGCTTACTTATCAAACAGATTAGTATAATAATGAGAACCGATTACGCAGACAACACACAAATCGATAACAAGTTGAGTTACTTCTCTTTATTATATCTCATCAATCTGTATGAATATCAGAAGGCAGAGCCTAAACTGCTATTGGATCATGACCTAAACATAATTGTTATTGGCTTAATCCCAAATGGGATAAACTGAGTCAAAATAGTCATCACGTTTTTAACATAAAATAAACAACATAGTGAATTTAATAAATATAGATTAATTGTAGTTAAAGAATAAGATGTGTAATACTCAAATTGTAAAAACATAATGACCTCAATTTTCAGCTAATAAACTTAACAATAAATAACATACAACAGTATTTTTTACTCATTCAAAGTGGACAACAGTCATATGATAACCATATAAAAGAACTCGAAGCAGTAATATTTTCTACAGTTGAGATCACGAAGAGATCTTAGCTACGGTGTAATGGGCAGGTGTCGTGGGCGAGCGTTGCTAAAAAATCTCATACAAAGACAAAAACCACGTCCAGTACTTCTAGGTCTTTAATGGCGGTCTAGCTAAGATCAGTTCTTGATTTCAATTGTGAAAATACTACGATCTCCAGAAATCCACCATACGTATAACACTTCTATTCTTCTATCAATATGATTTGATTTGCAGGTATTTGATTTCATAGCATTTTGTCTTTTTGGCAATGAGCCTGTATAGAGATACATATTTTTAATACTTAAAAAGGTATAATTGAAATGCACCAGTAAAATTAATCCAATGTAAGGTTGCATTGTTCTACTCGGTTTCAAAATGGCTTTTCAATTCGTCACGCTAATGTAAAACTAAAATTAGAAACCAGCTAACAGTTGAATTCAGAAGGACTGTTTCGTCATATTTAAGGCTCTTCACCTAGATGTACCTGAACCCCATTGTTGACAGTCACATCAGTACTAAAACAAAGTACTTGTCGCTTCAAACGCTTGACACGTTATTCACTTAACTGAGTCTGAAACAGACCGAAGTCAGACAAGGCTGCATACTCTCTCCTTTCCTCTTTCTTCTGGTGGTCGACTGGATTATGAAGACCTCAACACCTGAAAGAAGGCACGAAATACATTCAACAGCTCAGAACTAATTAGACGATTTGGGCTTCACAGACAACCTACCCCTCCTATCCCATACACACGAACAAATGCAGATGAAGACAACTAGTATGGCAACAGCCTGTACATCAGTGGGCCAAGGTCCTCAAATAGAACACGGAGAACATCAACCCAATCACATATGATGGTGAAGCTCTGAAAAATGTGGAATCCTTCACATACCTGAGAAGCATAATCGATGAACAAGGAGGATCCGATGCAGACGTAAAAGCGAGGACTGACAAATCAAGGGCCGCATTCCTACAGTTGAAGAACATGCGTAACTCAAAACAACTTTCAACCAGTATCAAACTCACAATCTTCAACACGAACGCCAAGATAGTGAGCTCTACTGTACAGAGCTGAAACTTGAAGAACTACAACAAACATCATCAAGAAGGTAAACGTATTTATAAATAGTTGTCTACGCAAGATACTCAACATCCATTAGCCGGATGCCATCAGCAACAGCCTTCTGTGGGAGAGAACAAACCAGCTTCCAACTGAGGAGGGAATTAAGAAAAGACGATGGAAATAGATAGGACATACATTCTGGAGATCACCAAACTGCATCACGAAAGAAGTACTAACTTGGAATGCTGAAGGGAAACGGAAAAGATGAAGGTCAAAGAACACATTACGTCGTGAAATAGAAGCAGATATGAAAGGGATGAATAAGAACTGGAAAGAACTGGAAAGGACAGCCCAGGACAGAGTTGGATGGAAAGTTCTGGTGGGCGGACTATGTTCCTCCATAAGGAGTAACAGGCGTAAGTAATTAACTGAAGTCAGTAATACAAATGAATTATCATAAGAAGAACTTTTCACTTTATATATATATATATATATATATATATATATATATTTCATCTTGGAGGAGATTTGTTATTTTTATTTCAATGTGATATATATATATTGTTAATTTTCAAAATTGATTTCAGTTCGTCAACTTGAAGCGAATCATTCCAGCTGTTCGTCATGTATTCATTCAAATGGAAAATGTTATACAATGAATGAACAAGACATTGAATCATCGATTGGTTGTTTATGCCCAAATAATCTTCAATCTATAATAACATCTTCAACACAGACTAATTTAATACAACATACTAATAATAATAATAATAATAATCCTATTGATAGTAATAATGATGAGATCATAAACAATAATGATAATGATAATCATTTACAGAATCATTATAAATCTATGCTATCACAAACAACAATAATGGAATATGAAGTATGCGGAGAAAATTTAGGTAATTCTATATGTTGTATATAGATATAGTCAATATTTCAAATTGAATCTTCAATTCTATTATTTATCTTATTCTTCTATATCAGATGAGAATAATTGTCCATTGATAAACAGGCTTAATTGTCATCTAATCGAAACTCATTGTCATTTATTCAATAAATGGCTTATTTACAAATTGAACTTGTTAAACAGATGATAGTACATGATAACAATTATGTCATGGTAAATAAAAATAAATAATTTAAGAAAAAAATGATTGATGCAATAATCTGGCTAAGAGATGGTGGAGAAGATTTATAGCTCAGGTAGAAATGATTTTGATGGAGTTTTGTTCTTTGAGCTCAGAGAACAAAACTCCATCAAAATCTTGATAAGAAGAAAACAAAAAGATAAGTCAGACGTTAATTTTGAGACTAATAGTTATAAGATCATAGAATAATGTTAAATTTGAAGAGACACATACTAGAACGAAACAGTTGTCTAATGTTGCCACATTTTTAATGGTGAATTAGCTTACGTCAATTCATGAATTCAACTAGTAGAATCAATAATGAGTTAATAACTGTTTAGTACTATTTTTCAAATTCATCAGTGATTCACTATCATGATTTAATATAGGCTAATATTTATTGCATAATAAGTCTTATAATAATCAGGATAGATGTGGACTTTCACTCGAGAACAACTATATTTTCGCCATGAGTGTCTTCGCTAGCATGTTCTACCAACAAGTGTAAGATATAGACCTCCAATCAACTGCCCATTAGGATGGAAAATAGCTGAGCAAAGTGAAAGAAAAATGGTACACCTAATGATAGTGGACTATAATTTATGGTTTAGTTAGTTTATAATATAATACTATATAATGTCCACTTTGAAACAACCCTTTATTCTCTTAATTAGTTCATAGAATATCATTATTATCATTAATTTGACAAAATAAATTGTATGCACTGACTGTATCTTAAGTCAGTAGTGAATGTCATAGTCAGATATTTTATTACACGTTACATTAAGGTCTTACTATTGATTGTTTTCAATCAAAAAACTAGTCAAACATGGCACTGATCATTGCTAAGTGATCAGTCACTCGTAAAAACATCTCAGTTATTAAAATGTGATTAAGTGTATACCAAATACTTTATTGTTAATGTGTAAGATTGTAAAGTAGAGTGATGCGGTTCCGAATCCTAAGATCCTCAATTCACCATATTGCAGCAATTTGGAAGACTTTCCCGGTCTCTCACATTGTACGAGTATTCCATAAACGGTTGCTCTGGTTGTCAGAAGAAGCATCGGCCTCGTGACTTCCGAAGAAACTCGGCTTTCATCATGAGGCGTCATAACTCTTCTAAATAAAGACCTTCTAACACCCAGGGCAGAGTTTAAAAGGTTTGAATAATTTTTTCTGGTTAGCGTTTCTTTGGCGAGTTATTTTTCTACGGGATGGCGTCGCTAACCATGGAATTTGTCATCTGGATACTTAAACTACATCTCAATATTGATTTATATGTTGAAACTCAAAATCTAATACCTTTCATTTTGAAGTGTTAGATAGTTGTTACATATACAAGTGTTCTTTTGTTTTTTTCCCGCCTAATTATCAGTTTTGTATGTATTATTACTTTTGATTTTTTTTTCTAAATTCTGGACAAATGTACGTTCAAACAAAAAAAACTAGCCAGCATCATCATGAGTTACCTTTCTATTGATTAATTTTTTCCTACACGTGATGTCATTAAATTGAAAGGGAAAATAATATTTATCCAATGTAATTGAATATAAGTGATGGTTAATGATTTAATAATTCTAATCATTAAATCATGCGATTAAATAAAGATTAACCGTCATCGTCATCATCATCATCATGCTCATCATCATCACATTCGTCATCAATATCGTTGGTATATTACTGATAGAGAAGAAACTTTGCCGAGATAATCGACCTTTTTTCTCTACTGTTGTTTAATTTATTCGTATATATGTCTAAAATAGGAACAGGTAGGTAGGTAGATAAATAGGTAGGCAGATAGGTAGGTAGGTAAGTGGGTAGATAAACAACTTCTCTGAAAATAGATTTTAATGGTTGCAAAGCTTCATTTTGTATTGTTGGTCAATAACCACTGTTGATTTTATGATAATCATTATTATTTATTAAGGTGATAGGCAAGTTGAATAATAAAGACTGTAATAACAATAATATTGGTAATTTAATTTTCGCACTTGTTTTTAATGGTGAATCAAAACAAAAAATAAATGTAGAAATTTCGATGAATAAGTTAGAATGCAAAAAAGAATAATTGATTACAAGTATTATATTATGGTTTTTATATAACAGGTAATTAAATAAATGAAAATAAATGAGAGGGGATTTTCGGAGTTCTAGTGAGAAGCTGTCACCAGTAGATCTAATCCGTGTCGTGTGTGAGGCAGTTAACCACCAAAGAAAATGGAAGGTGGTTGTGCGAGATCGTGAATTGGTTGAAGTTAAACATTAATACCGTTAGATGCTGTCTCAGTGGTCTAGGCGTTAGATGTTTGCGCGTGAGACGGAAGGTCGTAGGTTCGAGGTCCTTTGACACGAGATCTTGGATGCACACTGCTGAGAAGTCTGATACTAGGACGTAAAGGCTATTCTTTGCTTCCAGGTATTTTAATGGCTGTTCAACATTGATCGATTTATGAACTCAATCAAAAAATAACTGAGGTCAGTGATAATAAGTAATTTATGGATATTTGTGTAGAAATGAGGATCAAATACTGTCAGGGATGCTTGCATATATCCACGTTTACGCAACTAAACTTTAATAAATGAATATGATTGTTTTTTCGTTATTGACTCGGGATTTTGTGAACATATTTTGGTAAAATAACTGATGAGTTAATGTTCCAGCAGAAATTTTGGGGCTATTTACGAATGTTTAATAGGTAGCTTTTTATTAATGTCAAAATGTTGAAATCAACATGTAAGCAACGTTGTTTATAAAATGAGACTAAACTTATAAGCCTTAGAAATATTTGTATTAAGAACTAGTAAGGTCTCTCATAAAAAGTCATATTTATTGAAGCCTGATTTCGATAGAAGAAAACTTACTTGCGACTAATTTCAACTGATAAATCCTACAGTCCTATTGAAAAGCCATAACCAATGGACCTCAGGTAAGTCAAGTATGAGAAAGATATCCATTGCAGGCAATGGAACTAAACGTACAGTGTCGGCAATTGAAGCTGGACACAAAAACCATCCGCTGTCTGCTCAGTGGTATAAAAGTTAAACGTGCTCCTGGAGACGTCAGTGTATATTCTTGAGACGTCCCATATCAGGACTTAACAGCTCTTCAATGCCTCCTGGTTTTTAAACGTTGCCTAACTTAGATTCTTCTGTGATATCAGCTACGCAGAAATAATTTGTACCAATCGTCTTCGATTCAATATGAGAGAGGTGTGACTTAAAGTGTAAATAATATCATAGTATGTAAAACATCTATGGTTCATCGAGCAGATTTCCCATTTCCTCAACAGTTTCACTAACTTCCATTAAGACAATCACGTAGTATAACTATGTTCTGCTACAAACAGGTTGAAAACTAGAAAACTATTCCTGTATTTCATTACATCCAATATTATACATTATAAGTAACATCGTTTAATAGTGAGAACAGGCTTCCCATTTCATAAAAAAACAAATAGTGAATAGCAATCGATCACAAGTAAGCAGTTTCGTTTTTATTTCAGATTCACCAATTAAATTTTCATCTGACAACTCATTATTGATGTTCGTGATGAGATTTTAAACATAGTACCTTTCCTTCTAAGTGTTTAACACATTATCAATTGAGTAACTAAGTTCAATTATCTACTCATTTTACTGAGACTGATCTAAATTCTATTCTAAATTAGGGAGTTGTTTTATGGATATTATAGTAATTTAGTAGTCGAATTCATAAGTCAATTAACGCTAAACCATCATAGAAAAGCTGGATACACTGGACGGTCGTTTCGTCCTAATATGAGACTCCTCAGCAGTGCACATCTACGACTCCACCTCGTTAGGTTCGAATCCAGGGCCGATTGGTCTCACACGTGAACACTTAGCCTCTAAACAACTGAGACAGCATCCAACGATGTCAATGTCTAACTTCAATCAATCCACGATATTGCGCCACGATCACTTCTTATTCCTGCATTAATTAACTTGTTTTTAAAGAATCTCTTTAATCTCATGTAAATTGTTTGTTTTTCACCACCCCTACCCCCACCTACCCACTCCTACCCCCTAGTACATGTATTTTGTCAACGACATTTATTAGAAATTTGTTTTTTACCAATGAATCAATCACCATATGAAAACTTAGCTGAAAATTTACAATTACATCATTCCATTGCATTTATTACAAATTTAACAATCTATCAAAAATTGATTAATACTTGTATATTAAATATAAAAAATTCTGGTTTATATCATAAACAATGGAATAATACAATATTAAATTATAATAAATTCAATACAAAACATATATGGTGTAAAACAATTGATTGGAGACAAGAATCAACAAATATACCATGTGGTCTTAGTATTACTGAATATATGGTAAGTAAATATGAATAATTTAAATTATTTTGTTTGAATAAAGTAGCTTCTTTTTTGGCATTTCTTGTTGTAATATGAAAGTCATCTGAATTCTACGATAGTACGCTCAAAGATATTGTTCATAAACGAATTGATGATTGACATTGCTTTCGATAAAATACTATTGTCGATGATAGATAGCATAACTCTCTTTCTTCGCAGCTTTACCAGACACCATTTTAGGAGGTACCATTTTGTAGACCAACGCGTACAAAGAAGAAGAAGAAGAGTATGAGGAAAGAAAGTTATGCTAACTACATCTATAAAGTTCTTTGTCAAGTTTATCTTGACACTGGTATCTCGTCGAAAGCAATGTATATCGTTTTTTGTTTCTTAGTTAGTGATAAATAATTCAAAGTAGTTTACTGGAAACACTATTTGATTTAGAATTTCTTGTTAGTTATTGGTTGTCAGTATGGTGTATATAATATTCAAAGGAATTATTGATTTCTAATGGATTCCATCTTATCTTGCCAAGCATCACTGTCTATAATATTAGGACTAAGATAGTTTATAACTGATTGATTACTAAGTAGGATTAGATAAACATGACATTAGTCCTTACTTAGTGATCAATCAACTGTATCGTACCTGTGAGACAAGTTAATGGTTACAATAATTCAATAGTCTAATAATTAGTTAACACTCTGAAATTTGAAGTATTTCAAAGAATCAAGATAATCAACTTATTAGAAAATGATTATCATCAACTGATGAGGTCCATTCAAAAACAAAACAACCATTTATCATTTCACATTAGTTAATGTTAACCTAATTTATTTTATATTACTTAATAAACATTTTATTCTTTATATTTTTTCTTATAAGAAAATCTCTTAGTAACTATATAAAGCATAATTAAACTAATTCTCAACTAATTCAATAATCCGTTAACAACAACGAAAAAAAACACAACAAAATATGATTTTAACATTTAAACTAATTTAATTTAATATGTAATCAGGTTGTTTTCTGTTTTTTCAATTTATCTTGTTTGCATAGGTAATAAGTAAATTTTCCAAGCCGATTTTTCAAAATATTTATTTCATTAGTATGATAGGGAAATGTTAATTAACACACCCACACACACACATCTACACATACATACATACAAACATACATACGTATATTCGTATGAAGTAAAAGTACACGATTCACTTCCTAAGTTACTTCATTACGAAAGATGACATAAAAATCATGTCAACTATATTTTAATCATAAAATTATTTCAGTGGTTAAGATCATGAGTCAGTTGAAGCTAGACTACCATGGAAAACCTGAAAGCACTGGACGGCCGTTTCGTCCTATTGTGGGACTCCTTAGCAGTGCGAGATTCGAACCCAGGACCTATCAGTCTCGCTCTAGGCGCTTAACCAACTAGACCACTGAGCTGGCCGGCATCCAACGGTGTTAATGTCTAACTTATTGAAGATATTTGATTCAGTTTTGAATCTTATAAAGAGAATGGAATTGATTTAAGATTATTGAAGAATGCTAACTATTAGAAGATCTACGTATCTGAATTTCTTATAGATTAAATCGAACTACGTATCATCTAAGTATAGTGTGTACAATGTTGAGTAATTTAGATTAATGGTCATACTGAAACTTGAATAATAGAATTTGATCTGAACTATAAGACTAGAAAAAGATTATATTTGTTACTGAGATCTAATGAGTTAATCATAGAGTAATCGAAATTTCGGGAAAGTGTATATCTCGATAATGCAATGGGAAGACAAATTTTATCAGAATTATGTAATATATTTGTGTAATACATTTCGAACCATCTGATCACATATTACTTACTTACTTACTTACTTACTTATTTACTTACGCCTGTTACTCCCAATGGAGCATAGGCCGCCGACCAGCATTCTCCAACCCACTCTGTCCTGGGCCTTCTTTTCTAGTTCCATCCAATTCTTGTTCATTTTTCTCATGTCTATTTCCATTGCTTGGTGTAATGTGTTCTTTGGTCTTCCTCATTTCCTTTGGCCTTGAGGATTCCATGTGAGCGCTTGCATTGTGACGCAGTTGGGTGATTTCCTCAATGTGTGTCCTATCCACTTCCAGCGCTTCTTCCTAATTTCTTCCTCCTCTGAGATCTGGTTTGTTCTCTCCCACGGTACGTTGTTGCTAATAGTGTCCGGCCAACGGATCTGAAGTATTTTGCGTAGACAACTGTTAATAAACACCTGTATTTTCTGGATGATGGCTTTCGTAGTTCTCCAGGTTTCTGCCCCACACAGTAGAACTGTCTTGACATTTGCATTGCAAATCCTGACCTTGGTGTTGGTTGACAGTTGCTTTGAGTTCCAGATGTTCCGAAGGAATTTGGCTTTCATCATGAGGCGTCATAGTTCGCCTAAATGAAGACCTTCTGACTCCCACGGCAGAGTTTAAAAGGTTTGAATAATTTTTTCTGGTTGGCGTTTTTTAGTGAGTTAGTTTTCTATGGGATGGGGACGCTAACCCCATGCCCAACCCTCCTCCTTTATCCGGGCTCGAGACGGGCAGTGGCCCTCTGAGGGACTCCAGGCGGAGTTGATCACATATATACTTGTTAAAAAATATATTTATATGAAAATTAAAAGATCAACTAAACAGATTAAAGGTAATCCGAAATGTATTACTCAAATATACCACATAATTCTGACAAACTTCGTCTTTTCATTGTATTATCGTAATTTATCAAAGGGATTAATTGTTTTAAAGTGTGTATCATTTTGTTCATTTATTGATTAGATGTTGGACGGCACATTGTAAATCTTTAAAGTCTTATAACTTGTGGCCTTGTGTCCCATTAATATATGACGTAAGGGTACAGCAAGAAGAGAATAATAATTTATCGACCAGACCAATGATGCACAAAACCCGTACGAACAATCTAGAGTCTTTATCAGTCCTTCTCCCCGTCTGTTAAGTTCGGAACATCAATCTCAGCCTCTGCGATATGGCTGCGTTTATATACAAACCAAACAGACCACATCGTACCATAAAATAGGAAACAACATTTGCAAAAGATCTAGCCAATAGTGGGTGTAAAATTGGGAGATTGTAATTAACAGACTGAGAATAACTCAACAATAGTAAATCGTATAATATTAGTTTATGGGTCAAAATAAAGGTTTTAATAAGAGAAACGTGAATATGCATAGTTTAGCTACTTAATAATTATACAACGAAAATATATGTATCGTATTGGTGCATAAATAAATCACAAAAATCTTAACAATAAACTTTGATGACATCAATGAAATACTAGGTCATTATCATTCCAGTATGTTAACAAGTAATTTAGCAGCGTAAATGAAAGGATATCTTTCTGAATCAGTAAGTAAATTAGACCTCTTGAAAAGAACAGAAGATTGTCAAGCAATATTTTTGATTGATTTAAGTTAGAAATTAACACCACTAGATAGGGACTTAGTGGTCTGGAGGTTAAGCGTTCATTCACAGTGCCAAATGTCCCAAGTTCCATTCCTGCTTGGAAGTCGTGGATGTGCATTGGTAAAGAAGTCGCACAGTAGGACAGACATTATTTTGATTACTCTAAATGATCTTCCAATGAAAATTACTTTATTCAATGATAGTTACAGTAATTACAGAATGCACATCTGTTTGATTGTTCCATTATTAAAATGTAACAATTTTAATTGTATCATCTAAATAGAATACGACAACATCAGATCATTGATTATTTTTATTATCTCAGTAGTTGGTTGGAATAAGAATTGCTTACGTTGAATGGTTTATGTACTTTAATCGATAAATTATATGGTTACAAATATGATATACTTAAATTTGTTATGTAACAATAACTTTGAATACCTAATTCATCATTTGGATATAAATCTTCTAAAGGCATATTATTGAATTCGTATTATTATATGACTAAATGTACTGAATATCAATGTTCACTAGTGACACATTTTCCATAATGACACAGTTGTATTAGTTAGATTTGCATGACGTTACATGAATTTCGATGAGTGGAGACTATATATATATATATATATATATATATATATATATATATATATATATAAGTTCTTGTTTTTATCGACACTCAACAACTGGAGATATTTAGTCTTAAAGAAACTACAACAAAATTGAAATCATCGCTATTACTATCTAATAAAGCCTAATGAATAGATGTGTTAACATCCTATGGAAACCAATGAAGATTAATTTAATTTTTGATGGTTTGAACTATTCCGTTTTTGATATATTTTACAGAAATTTGATTGGTATATGTGCATTCTGTACGAGTTGGTTTGATATAGCCATTATGATAAAATGTAACATGGAATAAGGAAAATCTGGCTGGTACTGGGATCCAAAACACGAGTTTCATCCCGTTTTGGACTCGTTAGCATAAATTGATCATATATCAAAATATTAATAATAGGATAATCAAAAAGCATTACAAATTTGGGTAAAACGCGTTGGCGTTTGCTTGACCATTTTGCAATGTGACATGACACAACCCTACTAGCCATCGCTTCACATTAGGACTCCTTGGATTATCTCTCGAAATCAGTTCCTCCTGAATACACTACTATTATTAGTGAATTGAGTATTTGTGGAGATTGTTGAATTTCCATACTGTGCATTACGGACTGATCTTTTTTAGACAACCAATGAAGACCAGAAAAAAATTATACAGCCGTTTTTATCTTAATATTGGGACAAACCAGGAGTGCACATCTACGACTCAAACGTAATGTAAAGTATAAACTTTTAGTCATTTCCACAAAGTTTGCTCTACGACTTTTAATTATATATATGTAAAAACAGTTATCAACATTTTATTCAGCAGTTTACACGATCACTTCATGTATTATTTTTTATAATAATGTAATCATATTTTTCCTCTCTTGTAGACTGGTGATTTGTATACTGGTTACTTGGCTATAATTACAAACCAAGAATATCGTAACCATGAAGTTGATCTCTTGTTTCAATTTACATGTAAAACTAATAATGATGTACCGCATCGGGTACCTGGACAAGTTTTCGAAAGGTAGGGATACAGTTCTATAAAATACACTACATATTCATGAACAAAAGAGTTAGTTTAATACGCAGACCAACTATATCTAGAGAGTTATTGTGAATCAAGGTGCACTGGGCAGCAGCTTTGTCTTAGTATTTGTTTTCCCATATGGCACATGATAAAAACAACGTAATAAGTGCCTAACTTTTGAACAACTGATAGTTGATTAGTATCGTGAATTCATTGAAGTTAGAAATGTAAGCCATAGGATATTTACTTAATAGTCTGAAATTCGAGCACACTCTGGGAGATCGAACATCCTATGTTTGATCTGTGACACGATAGCGGATACTCGCTCTCGGGAAGTACTGTACTAATTCAAAGCAGATGTCCATTGCTTTACCAAACGATAAATATGAAGCTCATAACTTTTGCTCAGTTTTCCTCAGCAATTAAAAATACAATGAATTGCGAATCATGAGAGCTATTTTAATTCGTCTTTTTTTCACACAGTAGTAGCTTACTAATATTTATTATAATGAGTATTGTATGAGTAATTATTATGGTATTCAACACTCTCAGTTTACTCTATTGATCTTGTTTTTTTAATTTTTCTTGTAATACATTTGGTATTGCTTGCTTGTATTTTCCCATTTGTTATAACTTGTAATGACGCATAAAACTCGTACGAGCAGTCTATAGTCCCAATCAGTCCTGCTTCTTATTATAACGGTTAGGTTTCCACGTTTACATGTATGGGATGGTAATTTACCTGAGACGAATATCTACACTAGATTCTCTCCAAGTGTCTATTCTACAGGACTTCAACAAAACTCAGATCAAGAACACGTGATTAGCCTGACTAGAATGTAAATATATTTCCACACCAAGACCCGACACAATCCAACAACAATAAACAATCAACAATAAGGATAGGGGAATATATAACTCATTTGACACCTGTCAGACTATCTATATGTCTGACTAAGCAAACAACTAATCATTATCATTATAGCCCACACATCACTTCTTGCCTAGCCCCGCCTGTTAAGTCCAGAACATCATTCTCAACCTCTGTGATATGAATCATGCATTTTAAACATGCTAGGTTTATATACAAACCAAACAGACCACATCGTACCATAAAATGGAAAATAACATTTGTACAAGATCTAGTCAAAAGTGGGTGTGAATGTCAGAGACTGTAATTAACAGACTGAGCATAACTCAACAATGGTAAATCGTATAATATTAGTTTATGGGTCAAAATAAAGGTTTTAATAAGAGGAACATAAATATGCATCGTTTAGTTACTTAACAATTATACGTTAAAAATATACATATAGTATTAGTCCAGAAATAGATTCTAACAGTTACCATCCATTATTCTCATCGGATATAACACCATTGTTGTTTAGGACTGTCATTGATCAGTCTTTTGCTAACCACCATCTGTCTTTGCTTATAAATTTCCTTGAATTATTTTTTTTTCAAGATTTTATAAATTTTGTGACCATATACACACTACATTGACTGAATTCACCCTTTACATAAATCAAGTCGTCTTATTACCTAAACAAACTCTTTAAAAAAAAACCCGGAAGCTAGGACATCCAGTGAATAAATTCATTGGAAGATTATACACACTCAAAAAACAACGACAACAACAACAACAGACGGTTGTATCACTATACATTTGAAATATAAACTATTTGAATAACAATGGTTTAATCATTTACTATTCAGCTAAAATATATCTTTGTACTTCTGTGCAATTCTAATCTCTTTTCCATTCATTCGGTTAAAACACAAATGAAATAATTTCATGTCAAATGAAAATATATTAAGACTTAGATTAAAGGAAATATCTATTCTCTGCCTGTCTGTCTAACTATCTGGTTATCTGATTGTCTGTTTTTCCATTTCCTCTTTCGTCTTTTTTTTATATGATGACCAACTATAGTGCGCATAAATTGTCATTTTTTCCCCCTTTATTTTCCGGAATATAATCAATTGTAGACATGGTATAGTTAGTTACATTTAGTACATCTTAGAGATATGAATTCATAAATGGGTACCCGTTAACATAAACAGTAATATATAAATGTATATACAATCAGATAGAATAATCAAACGAATTGGTATTCAGTAATTTGACATTATCAACAACTTGTTTTACCATTTGCAATAAAAAACTTTTTTTTTTTAGAAAAAGTTAACTTTTCGTATAAAAATAGTCTCGTCTATATATATAACAATACAGTTCATAGTTATCTCTAGCTTTGAAATGAATTTCTTAATGTATCTCTTATAAAAGTGTAACTAACGAGAACAGTTGCTCAGGAGCAAGACATATGTATTACCGATTACATGAACACTGCTAATTAGTTAATTTTGTCTCAACTATCTAAAAATAGTGGTGTATTTTGTGTAAGATATCATTATTGTGATTTCAAAACATTTGAATTAGGTTATGCCTGTATATATATAAACTATCTATCATAATAAGTAGAGACGGATGGTGACTAGCAGTGGAATCCAGGCCGTGCATTTCATCCTATTTGAGACTCGTCAGTCGAAAGAACCTGCATCCCAGAGTTGATGTTTATTTCAAGACTTGAACCCAATACAAAAATGGATATCTATTGTAATTCTTGTTTTTCAATAATTTAACAGTTGGTATCACTTTATGTGATAAAAAATAACGCTGAGACTATAATTGATGAACGAACCAATCAGATGTAAGAAAACAGATCTTGAATTTTGGCGCGAAATTCATTCATTTATTTGTCTAAATACAGTTTTGGCATTTGAGCTGATGTTAGTTCGTGATGAAAACCTTAAATCTAATTCCTAACCCAAACAATCAACTGTAAATTATTATTATAATTCCTCACACTGGTTTATAACCCTAGTCCTAATTGGTAGGTGAATATTCTCGAGGTCACTTTGGAGTCGCTCAAATGTCGTCCATAGACTATAGTCTCACCCGTGATACAACTTAATTTTAATCACTTATTTCTAGTTTATTTCGTTATTATATGATGTAAACAGTAATAGTATCTAAAGTTTTAATGTTAATGTGAGAATAACTTCCACTTTTTGTATAAAGGATAGTCAAATGTATGTCTAGTTGGTTAACTCCTTTATTCTTCCAACTAGTCTTAAAAATCTACTAAGTGTTGAGTAATCAAGAAATGATCTTTTCATATCTTATATTCGTTATAATAACTGTCATTAAAATATTTATATTCCTGATAAAAACGTATCTTCATATCGTTGAAAGATTTCATTTATCAGCAGTTAATTTCAAAATAATGTATATTTCTTAACTAGATCATTCTAGAGGTGGTTCAAGGAATTCTACTGAGGAATTTGGGCATCAGACAGGTCTCCAGCGACCAAATTAGATTATGCTGACATTACGTCGTGAGATAATTAAAGTTACAACCGTAAACCATTGAATGCCAACTTAGTGATCAGAAGGCTAATAACTCACAGTTAAACCTAAGAGTCAATGGTTTGACATCAGGTGAAGTTCTTTTTGCTTAGTGTAGAGGAGTCTTATACTAGGACAGCTATATAAGCCCAGTTTATGATGTAAACCATAACTCCGACTCTCTAGTAATCTAAATTTGATACTTTTTACAGATGTTTGTTTCGTTTTATGATAATTTCCATCACAGAGTGATATCAACTAGGGAATTAGTGGAAACAGTATTAATTGGAAAGTTGTAATCCCAGATTTTGTACCGTTCTGTTGACGTGTTAAGAAAACCTTAAATGTGTTGCAACAATATTTTGTGAATGAACTAAGCAAATATTATCTCTTTTATTTTCACACTAAATTAACTTATTTGTATGGCTACAGAGCAATTCTTCTTATAGCTATTATCAGTTCATGATGAAAACTCCAATCTAAAATCTCTGATCCGTATCCTGAATACGTAACCTTAGCCAGGAACAATGTAGTGACTTTAAAAAATATATTTCGGTCCTCATAAGGGCTCTAGGATACAGATAAAAATAATCCATTTGTTTTCTGATAGACTATCAACTGGCTATAATTTTGTCACGGTTATTATAAACTCATTCTTTCTATTATTACCATTATCTGAAATAAAAAGACAAATGCAAATTGAACTATTTGTTTTAATCATTTGAATTTATCAGTATTGGAGTTTGTGGAGATCGTTGTATTTTAACGGTTGAATTCACGAGTCGATCTAAGCTAGACAACCATTAAAGCACTAGACGGCCATTTCGTCCTAGTTGGGACTCCTCAGTAGTGCGCAATCCTGTTCTAGCACGCAGGACTTGAACTTAGGACCTTCAGTTTTGCGCGCTAATACTTAACCTTCAGACCATTTAGCAGTCATCCAACAGTACTAATATTTAACTTCAGCCGATCCATGATCTTTAGCAACCCTTGATCCATTATCTGAGGTAGATAACTGTCTCACACCTGACCTGAACTGAACTTCACTGGTCACGGATTCTCACTATAATTCCATCTTAAAGCTAGTCATTGGTGATTATTATACGTATGGGGATTTGTGGAGGTTGTAGTATTTTCACAGTTAAATTCATTTTAATTTACATTGTTACTGAGCATTAGAGCACAATAAAATAATCGACATTTTCTGAATCTCAATAATTTATTTGATTAATCGAACAATAGTGGTGTATTCTTATTTTCATCAGTAATTTTAATACTTGATTTGATGTGTACAATGACGTGATTGTAAGTTCACCTACATTTTCTTAGCCATAAGTATATACATGATATGTATTAGATGATACAGTTTATACTCTTATCTCTTTATAATCAAAATGCACAATTTTTAGTATTGATACCATATATCATCAATTATCTATGTGTAGTTCTTTTGTTATCGATCTTTAACTCAATCTCTCCCTCTCTCCGTTATCCTATTTCTTTCTCTCTATATTCGTTAGTCCCTTGTCAAGACTTTTGTTTGTAATATATTCTCATCGCCATCATCATCATTTTCATCGTCAGGTAT